ATAGACCGGACTAGACTGTGACCGCCACTTATAAAATAAATCATTTGCGACTTCGTTTACAAAATAAAGATTTGTATTATTTTTTAAATGTTAATTACAAATGTTTCTTTACTACTTAACATTCTGTTAAAGTTTACTTATTTGAATACAATAAGCTATAACGAATGATGTGTACTTAGTGACATATTGTTCTATTCAAACGATTTTCCCATTCTCTTTATTGAAGTTAGAACTGATGTTTCAGTTAAATGATCCTAAAAAGACAGTTCAAAGAATATTTTAAAAAGCAATCAGTCATGTAATAACCATTTGTTTGCTTTTTCAAAAAGTATGGTTTTTTAAATATGTAGAACTTATTTAAGAAAAATAGAGTTTTGTGAAGTTGATCCCTTTTTACATACTTTAACAAAGCAGAAGTTCATAATGACATCGATTCATCGGTCGCTTGTTCATTGACCATTTACGTCAATACAATGCTAACTTATTAGATATGAACAAATGAGACGTCTTGACCTTTGGTCTTGAAGAAATAATCCACAATCTTTTGAGTGTTGCCTTATCTAAAATAGATGGTAGAATTGTAAAAATCGTATTGCGTAACTTGAAACCATCGTGTTGTCTGGCACAATTCATCGATATAGCTCATGGAACATTGTTTCATCGAAACTAATCACATGAAATATGAATCCCTCCTTGATTATTTCAACCTTAATCATCATCAATGCTGAAACTTTTTGTCTATATTTTCACTTATTTTTCTCTGGTCCATATTTTGGGCATTTTCGATTGCCTTTTTAATAGTTAAGCTAAAATAAAATTAAATAAAAACAAAGAATATATTCACTTTGTAGAATACTTCTCTTTCCGTCATGAAATATATATAGACTAAACATAAAGTCATATCCCATCAACTCTGTTGTGTAAGGATCTTCAAAACCCACATTCTGAGTTTCAGGCAAAGCTTTGACATACTTTCAAGAGAGATCAATAAAATCAGTCCGATATTGTACAAGAGATTGATTACCGTTATTTACCACCCAACATTCTCGAAATAGAATAACGAGAAAGAAAAAATGTATAGAACTTGAGTTTTTTTTAATACAGTTTCATTGATTACTTGGAAAGTAAAATCCATTTTAATTCTTGACGACCGACAAGAAAAATGTAAATACTCGATCTGGTAATGAGACCCTGAAAATCATTACATATGTACTTCCTTACTGGTTATATACATTAAAACTATGTCATTTAATTGACTACCAATTTTTACTGATATTTATGTAGTTTATTTAGTGATCCACTCCAGTGAATCTTCTAATTTAATCCAAGTACATTTAGTTTATACTAACAATGTTTAAGCTCTAGTTTTCTTAAAATGAACAACCTAGCAATCTATCCATTTTCTTTATCTGTAGCTGCAAAACTGAAACATAAAAAAAACTGCTATTTGTACCACCCAAAGAAGAAGACAAGAATAAATAATAGATAAAGTTTTCGTTCATCTCTCCAAAATTACAAAGACAACTTTAACTAAAGACACTCATCTATGTACAGATTTTACTGGCATTTGATCATTCTTCAAGTAATGTAAACCGCTGATATAGTTGGAATGCAAGTAGATGTTACATTGAATTATTATAAAACAATAGTTATATTCAATAACTGTCACGCTGTATTAATCAATACATAAAATTTTCCTAATGTTATTTTACAGTTATCTCTGTACATCCTTTTTAACTAAGTGATATTCAGTAACTACTAAATTCTTCACTTTTAACATTTAAACACATTTGTTGTCACTGTGATTATCTGAATTTAATATTTATTACACATGAAGTATGTTTTTAATCTAACATATATTACATAGAAGGTTGTATCAGGAACCTTTATACATTAAAATTTTGCAGTCAGTAATTTCAAAACGACACGTAAAATCTTTCATGAAATAGACTGATAGATCAGAATATAGTCACTACCGTTATGTCTGTCAGTTTTGAGTGTCATTTATATTCAAACTATTTATTTATTTGAACACATAAATATTGGTACAAAGAGGCATCGAATACATATATGCTATACAATTCACTCGATTTGTGTGTCGGCCATGAGACTGCCCGAGTGCTCAAACCCAAACAGGTAGTTTTCTTAGAAGGCCATATCTGGAGCCTTCAACCTAAAGGTCTGATCCACGATTAAGTGGAGCAACTTCAGGAGACGCAGTCCCATGGTAGCCGGTGACCAACGATTGGTTCATACGCCATTCGTTCCTTCAGGATGCCAGAGCCCATGTGCGCCATTGGATTGAAATCAAGATTTTCCAACCTCCTTAGGTGGACCTTCCTTGTCTATCTATTCAGTTAAAATTCAGACATTCACTTTTCATCCTATCGACTTCGTAAACAACAGTAGTGCCACGAAGAGAAAGTGAGTAGGATCTCGATGGAAGTGGCTCTATATGCGTGGCCATGTGAGAGTGTCTGAAGAAGGAGAGCTAACTCTCCCCACCCTCCGTGGTACCAGGGCATTCGAAAGCTATATTCAAACAATTAAGTTCGAACCTTATATTTAGATTTTGGAATTCCCATCAGATAATTTATCGGAAGATGATTGTTATTCTTATTCTATAGAAAGCGTAGAACATGTTTAAATGAACTATATCGAATTTCGAAATATTGTAAAAACGATTCAAGATGATTTTAAATTCATAGTTTTCATTTAACTTATAATTATGCCGTCCTCAATGTCAGGATATTATCATAATCTGGGGGTTTTGTATAATTTAATTTGTGGGTGACCATTATCTCAGACTGAAAGAAACTGTGATAATATGTCAATTAACTCTGGGCAGCTGTTCTAATATGCAGCTCCTTAGTAATATGAATCTATGAAACTACCAGGATTTAAATTGAAAATCGCAAGGTATCATATCAAGTTTTTAACCTTAAGACTACTGGGTTAGCACACAAAAATTTATATTATTCTGTTCAATAAATTGGCCATAATGCACATTATTCATTCAGTGGTAGCAGACCATTATCATGATTATGACTTGTTTGGTAATCAGGATTTGTGGTTCCATGCTTCTTCGGAAAAAAATAACTTAAAAACAACTTTGGGATAACTAAACAATCAACATTTTTATATTTGCTGATGTAAAGAAGAGGAAACTGTCGTCTCTTCCTTCTAATTTTCGCATAGAAACGAAATACTATCGTCAGTTATTTAAGACCTACTAACAGATTAATACACAAACATTCATCTTCAAGGTAATTCATACACGAGAAGTATATTCGTATAACGTACGTTTTAACCATTATACGAAGTTAAAAATATACAACAGTTTTTATTAGATTTTTATAATAATTGCTCATAATAACAATAATAATGACAATAAAACAATTACATCAATAACTTTAATCATGGTAATAAAAATGCTGATTTATTTCAATAAGAAGCTGTAAAGAGGACAAGTACAATAGAAAATATAAATTTAAAAATTGGCAAGAATATAACGCAAATCAATCATTTTTAATAGACATTGAATCAAATAAACACATTAAAAGAACATTTCATTATGTGAAATGACAACATACACAGGATGTAATAATAACAAAACAAATGGTTATCAATATCAGTATTAAAGGTTCAAATAAACGTGTGTATTCGAATAGTATAATAATCAAATATGTTAATTTATTTAATAATAACGTATGTAATATTAAACAGTATATATATATCTTCAATGTATAGCAAATAATCAGTAATAGTTATCAAGATGATTCGAGAATGATAACGTTAAATAATTTGAATTACACAATAGTTTGTCAATGTAAATTTAATTTCCTTTTCAGTCATTTGAATATACCATTATTTATGCAAAAACTAAAGATGACATGACATGTACACACACGCATACACACACAAATCAAAATAGACAATAAAAAAAATAGAACGTAAACAAGCTAATAAATACCAAATTATTCCTCCTCATAAATATGTTGTGTTGTTATTATGTTTTTCTTCGAAAGAGAAAGTAGTTGCAAAATGGTCTAACTCAATTGAATTTGAAAAAAAAAGGTTATACGAAATAAACATTTTTAAAGACTGTGCGTAAAGACTGAGAAAAAAAGATAAACAATTAAAAAATAAACACTAGAATAAACAGTAAACAACTATATTCCTTAAGCTGTTATGTCGTAAAATAAAAAAAAAATTGGAAAACATAAAGCTATGTATATATATAAGTGATAATTTTCATATTACCTTATTACAGAATTTCTATGGAATAGTCGTTTTTTTTAAAAAAAAAGACTAGAGAATTAAAACAAAATAACACTAATGACCTTGAGTAAATTTAAACAAACATGTATTACATAATCGTGACTAGTAAACCTAACCTTCATTAGATTTTTTTAAAATTTGCTAATTGTAATTTTAAAATAGTATTATTAATTAAAACAATAATAATAATAATATACCTAAACAGTTTACCCTGATATAAGAAATTATTTATGTAAAAATTCAATAAAATAATAAACACTTTCGAATATAAATAATACAGAAAGTGGTAGAATATTTCAGTTCATAATTGAATCCAATTTGTTTTAGTTAAGCAGTTTTGTTTAATTGAATGACCCCATCTAATAATGTCAGTAAGAGCTATAAAATGTGTATAAAACCAATAATAATAATAATAACAACAACAACAAAAAGACTTCATTAAAAGATTCACCTAAATTAACACTAGTAATAATGATTACACATCAGTCTAGTTGTAGTTATTTAGCAAATGCAAACCTTTTAAGTAATATATGTAGTTGGAAATTTATAACCATAATTACTACTTTCTTTCTGAAGATAGATCGGTCAAAAAAAGTGATGAAAACTTATGTGTGTATGTGTTTGTTATTTTGTACGTATAAATGGTGTATTCAAGTTTGTATTAAAAAGATAAATTAATAAATACGTGCACAATTTCGCATAGATTTATGTATTGATGATTAAACAAATACAAATGATGCAACACCTCGACCACATGTACATGATCTTTGCGGTATACTAACCATACGGAATCTACCTTGACAATCAGAAGTACGTAGTGCACGCCATCTAGTCTCAACATTTGGTAATCCAGATCCAGTGCATCTGTAACCTAAATCTTCCCTCATATATGTTGGATAACATGTCACACAGATTTGTTGACCTGGTGTAAGTAACGCTGAATGAGTAATCCATGATTCAGAATTCGAATAATTGTCTTCCCAATTTTTGTTCAAACCAGTATTTCCAACTGTACTGTATTGTCTTTTGTGGAGAAATGATTTACGGCTAAAAGTGATTGATTGACCATTATAATCATTGTGTCGTTTATAACGATTAGGATAATAATAAGAAGGATACAGATCGCGTGACTGTGAAAATTGCCATAACAAATTTTGTGATTGGCAAGCCTGATTTGAATACGTAATCTCATATACTGCACAGTACCTGAAAATCATAAGAAAATGATTTTTATTAAATGAAAACATCAAAACAATATTCATTTTGAGCTGATATTTAAGTTCATTAATTTAAATTCCACAGAACAACTGTTACAATAAAAATATCTGTATAACGCTTCTGTTTAGAAGTATCGTAATGATAAATTATTTATATAGTCAAATTATTATTGAGCTCTTTGTATAATCACCTATACTTTTAAATAGGGTATATAACTTACCTAGGAACTATGAAATCAGTATCACTACATATTTTTATTAAGTGTTTTGCATATAAACATATTTTCTACAACTCTCTAGTAATAATGGTATATTAAATACATGTAATTTCAATGGTCAACGTTTTCGGAAAAATCGGATTCGGATAGAACATTAAAGCTCTATTTTTTAGTAAACATCAGTGGACTTACGGAATTACATTGTTAGTGAAGCTTTTATAGTACTGGATGTTAAACTAGGCGTGATACGGTAATCTTATCAAAAGTATTTTAATTGACATGTGATACATGATATGCCTATGAAATCTAAAGTATATCGTTCTTTATACGATATTTTTAACTGTAACATATGGTCAAATGCAAATAAACTGATAACACTGTTCAAACTGAAGTTAAATTCTGTGTTTTAAGTAATAAAAAACGCATCCCTTACAAATAGATGATCTTGAATCCGGTGTTATAAAAGTAATTACCATACCATCACAAGGTTTCAGTGGATATCGAAATAACTGTTCAGTTTTAACTAGTTTATTTTAATATACCTGAATGTTAACAAACAATAATAATGGGAATAATGGCATCATATCATTCTTGTATTCTGTTTTATAACCTTCAAAAGATTTATTTATAAATTATCAATTATTCACTATCTATGTATTAGTCATAGAAATTATCTGTCTATAAACTGATATAATGATTATTCTTAAAATAAAATAAGAATGTTTCATTACTTATTATCATCACCCATCAACGTATCTTATCCTGATATCTTTCAATATCATTGACGTTATTTTCTTCGATTAGTAATTTATGATTATGACCTGTCTAATTGTTGACATTTCGCCCCTTACATAACCAAATATTAATTATCTTGTTGTCATTGAAGTTTAATAATAGAATGCTCTTCATTAAAATGTTTAAATAAATCAGCTATGGCAATTATTATTATGGACAGATTATTAGTGGTTAGACATTACATGTCTGTTTCAAAGTCAAAAGAATTTCATGTCAAATAGAGTGACCTACTGGAACACCTAAATTAGTGAAACTATTTAATTACTGATCAAACGATTAAGTAAAAAGAAAAAGTCAAGGGGATCCCTTTACCTATATATCATCATCGGATTAGTGGTATTTCATAATACAGATGTGCTAGTTATTTTTGTTCCGACATTTTACTGTATATAGGATATATATAAACTGACGACACTCATTGGAGGATTCGATTTTCGATTAATTTGTCCTAGGTTTGAACTCATTCCATCTAGTTCAGCTTTGAAGAGTCAGATTGTATTATTTATTTTTGCATTATCATTTAACTTTAGATCTAATCTACAGATATGTAAGTGATCACTGATTCACATCGACCAAATTTTTAAAAATATCCTACCGTTTATTTCATTGTTTGAACATCTTGACACATTGAGAATATTAGGAGCTCTAATTGAAACATAGTTTATGAAACCCTAAAGTGGCTATCAAATTGGCCAACAGAAAAACTGCATATAGTCTGTGAAAAAAGCTTTTGAAAAGAGTTATTAAAGTATTTTTGCCCGACTCTAGAATAGTTTTAATCATTGTTGAATAATAAGTACTCATTTAAATATTCTGAGGAGTACCGAAAAGTGAGTATAATAGAATGTACTCTATTATCTTCTTTACTTATGATTATTAAATAAAATACTAATAGAGCAACATTAATACCCGTCGAATCAAATGCAATAATCAAGAGATTTCAATTAGTATTTGGTAACTTGAGGAGTCGTGATAACCGTTTGTTGAATTATTATATTTTTTGAGCACTAAACATTTTTGCATTGATGTCTAAAAGCATTAAAACAAATTCTCTGGCAATGTAAACTGCTATTTCAATGGAAGATCAGTGTGTTACAAGAAGAGAACATTTAAAATCTAAAGAATGTCATATTATTACTTACGGATCAGGTTCTGGCTGTTCAGTCTTATTCATTTTTATTAATCTACCAAGATAGAGTTTACGTCGAACATCAAAACGCATATCATAACGTCTAGTTAAATCCAATACATCTCCACGTACGGGTAGTAAATGTGCCACTTCAGCTGTTATAAAGAAAAGGTGTAGAGAAAACTAAAAATCAAATGTCATCCATTAATATAACGTATTAATGTATATCAATTTCAACATAGTTTATTGACCCTAATCTTTGATTTATATAAAATACTGATTTGTTTCACAAAAATTAGGTAAAAGATGGATTTAGAGTGATTTTTAAGTGGAATAAACTTATGCTTCAAAAATGTTGGTGCATACACATGGTTGAGACGCTAATTGTTTTAAGGCGATTATTCGCGATTCAGTTACATGGTTATCAAGTAGGTATCTACACTGTAACGTAATATAACAACTTTAGATATAAGAGCTAAAAGTTCTGGGTTGAAACTTTTACTGAGTTACCAGACATCCCTGTCAAATATTGCCAATCGAATTCAATGAGTGAAGTCTCGGTGAGGCTCCCGGTCAAAATAGTTCGACAATGCGTACACTGTATTGCGATGTCATGTAGTTAAGGCTAGTCAATAGGGGACTCTGGATGCAAGTTTCGTACAATTCGGCAAGACTTACCTGTAATCTCTAGGGAACTGATGTTTTGTTTGTGATTTAAATTCACACCACTTAGTTTTGCAGTCTTAAGCGTTATCACTAGTTTATTCGGTCACGACTGACATGTTGCGGATTAAAACATTAACGCATAATAAGTCACTTAATAGTGATGAATGGCATGTTAGTCTAGTCCTGATTCTAAACCTGAACTAAAACATCTATCTATAACTCGTTGATTTTCGATAATTTTCCAACTGATCACAGTGTATGATAATAACTACAAGTTAATAAACTATTAGATCTCAATCAGACACTCCAGTTACTCATTGAAATTCCAATGTTAATTTCGATACTGATTACTACACATATAAGAATAAAAAATAACTGTTCATAACTGTTTCTAAGTGTTTCTCTTTTGAATTATTGAAAAAACTCTCAATTTTTTTTAATGGATGAATACTTTATTGCTTATAGAATTATGACAAAAATCAATAAACAATAAAACACCAGTTTTATGTATTCACATGTCAAATCAAACCTTGTTACATAACCTAGATCATTGTGTAAAATGTGTAAATTTTTTGATGATTCGTTTCATGATTTCTGGTCTTCAATGATATGAACATTAAACAGACATCCACTGGTACACTTAGATGTTGCATTTTTGTGTATTTAAAAATACTTTAACCATTTAAACTTAGACAAAAAGTTAGTTGTTTTCTTTAACTTGTTCGTATTAATGAAAATTGTTCATTTTTTGTCATTCTTATCTAATAGTTGGCATCATTACTCTAGTATGATGACATGGTAACTGTTATTTTGAGTTTATGAGTTGGTTGGACAATTTTCTAACTGTAAATTTTAATGTTTCATATCACATTGTTACTTGACTTCAATCAAATAAAAATAATAAAGACCGCAGTTAGTATACTATTTTTGTCTTTATCGGTAGTACATAAAATTAACACGATAAGTATAAATTGTTTTCAGCCTGGTAGTTAGACAACAGACTATCTGTGATTATCTAACTGATATCTGTCAAATGGTATATTATATATATATATATATATATATATATATATAAATTTACAGATCTACCGAAAACTATTGTCGGCTACTGTGTTATAATAATGACAGTAATTCATAATATCAGGTTATTGTTAAGTGGTTGGACACATTTGAAGATTTCTTTCGAATAACCATTTGATATTGACTATGGAAGTGGTATAAATCAATGACGAGTGATCAACTAACACTCTCATTGTTAAGAAGGTCTAAAGATAAAATATATATTCATCATTTCTCAGATTTCAGTAGTCCATAATCTTACGCCTCTAAGTAATAAAGACAAACGGTCAAAATAATGTATCTCTCTAGTTACTAGCTGAAATCCATATAAATCTAGCGGAAGAGTTTCAATTTATTTTATTTTCTTTCTTTGATTGAATAAAACAAACAAAGCAGCCTTGATGAAAACTAGATGCTTAATAAAAATTTAAGTTGCAGAAAATACAAACCATTATTAGTGTTATCAAAATAATCTCTGAAATAAATAACATGGAGAAATGTTTTATATTGTGTTCGTTATTAACTTGTATTCACTGCATTCATTATTAGTTTTAACAGTGTTTCTTTCAATAATCAAAGTCTTCAAAAACTCTTTAATAGGTGTCTATCATGTTGTTTCGTCGTTATATGTATAGTTAGTACAACAGGTTTTAAAATATACTGAATAGTTTGTTATAATACTTTCAATAGTGTTTCCTTAAATTACCTTTCCCCTTTTTTTTCTTCTATAAAGTAATGTATACTAATCCAAAAGGCATATAATGATTTCTCCTCCTCATAAAGTCTTATAAAAGCTCGTGTTACAAGAATCTACATAGATACTTTATATCTCTCTTATTCACTATTGGTTAATATATGAATCACAGATACTATTAATTAAAATCTAACCCTTAACAGACGTAGTTTTAGTTTTAAATAGTCGATTGGAACTTCAGATACAATTTAAGAGTAAATGATAATTAAAATCTAATTGAATAAAGCAAAAAAAAAATTTTCAACCATCATGACAACTGATAAAACATATAAACATAGTTGACCTTGACTTGTTTACTTATCACTGTGTTTTTTTCCCTAAATTGCTTCTTGATAATTTTCAATTCCTTTTTTTATTGCTACTTTGAATTTTTATTGTCTAACATTAGCAAAATAAAAAAAATATAAAGCCCAGTGTACATGTTGACAACACTAAAAAATCGCCTCCTTAATTTTCTTTTACCTCATTATCACCATTTTACTTAATGATTCTAGTCTATATTAATGCCGTTCGCTGATTCATGCAAGAACAACAACAAATTAATTGAAAATCCAGCTGATCAGTTTGTATTATGAGGTTGTGAAAAAAGAAATGCCTTGTTAATTGTTGATTATATTTATATATCTATGAAAAACTACTGATGGATTTCAAGGTATTATTGTTCAATAATGAATTATTCATCAGTCTAATTATTAACAGTTTGAAATGATATGTAAGCCTGTGTGTGTGCTTATTTATGTGATAGGGTTGTTATGTATAAATATATAGGAAATTTTCTTGAATATAAAATCTGTTTGTACACATGGTCAGTTTATCAAATGACAAATAATAAATCTACTCATGAGTAGAGTAGGTAAATCAGTGTAAAACTATAAAGAAATAGTTAAAACAAATGCACATGCTGATGATTCTGAATTAAATGAAAACTATACTAAGCATACCAGCATTCTTCCTGCAAATTAACTTTATTTGTTCTTTTTACTTCCCTCTTCTTTTTGTTGTTATTATTATTATTATTACAATTTTATTTCTTCGTATTTAGCTTGGAAATGTGTAAATAAAACCTGTTTTTTTGGTGAATAGTTTTCTATTTCTGGTAATATATAAACGAATCATTTTGTATTATTGAATAAAGGTCAAAAATGATAAATAAGGTATTTCGGTAGTTTGATATGAGTCATTGCTTGACCTTGTGTACATACCAGGTTTCTAATTTTTTATTAGCTTTTAAGAAGAGGAGTGTTTCACTTTTACCATATCATTAAACTGTCGTGTGAAAGACAATGAAAAGTAGGTATTGAATTAATTTTGTTTGATTAAAAAAAAAGTAACTAAGTAATTGACGGTTTATCATTTTGTTTACTTGCATCGAGTTAACCGATTACATATAAACATTACCTTATATTAGTAGAAGTAAATATCCTACTGTTATTATCAAAGAAATTACTTATTTGGATATAGGGAATTTATATCGAATTTATATATATATACATCAAAGTGTTAATCTACCTTTTATATCATAAACATAAGGTACCATCAGCGTTCCAGATCTTCCAAATCTTTTCGATGCACAATTATGTCCAATACATGGTCTTGTTTCGTTCAACTCTGGACATGGCTTACCATTATTACTTGGTTTAATTTGAACTTGTCTGTAACGTGTACTAACACTTTGACCACATGTATATTCACAACTTGTCCAAGGTCCCCATTCACTGACTGTACAATCCACTTCTGTAATCAAATAAAATACAAGGTGATTATTTAACAGATATATGATTTAAATCATTTCAAAATGTATATATTTATTATGGTATAGTTAGAACGTTTAAACGAAACTGCTGATTAGCTTGCATTTTAACAAAAGACATAAACAAATATTCCATTTGATATCAATATTTTATTCTATTAAAACATTAGACGGTACAAAGTACTCTCATTATATATATATATATATATATATATATATATATCGATTGGATCATACATTTACCAGTTGCAGTAAATGGAATTAGAAATGAATTTTATTGTCAGAAACGTATATCTAAGTTGTTAGGAATAATTTGTTGATAAAAACAAACTTTTGTTTGGATGCTTGAAATATGGAAGCATAATTATTGTTTACTAATTTGCACAAAATGGGCAAAATAATCATTGATAATTTGTATTGTTTTCAGAGTGAGAAAATCGATAGTAATAATAATAATACTACAGTGAGATTTTGTTATGACTGTATAGTAGATTCGGTAAAAGGTGCGAATAACTAATGCAAACAAACGGGTAATTTTGTTTATAATTTTTTTAAACTATTAAAGACAATGGGGATGATCAAACATTTTAGATACAACTCGAACGTTTGACATTATCTATAAAATATGTAGCTCAGAATTAAAACTTGGCAGTTTAAATCACTGAGCTTTCAGCCACTGAGTTGTAAACTCCTAACCCTCTACACCTATAGTGCTTTATAGTAATGGGTAGTATCATTCGATTTAGGACACAACCCAAACAGTACAGTTCAGTCCCGTTTAACAGAAGAGCCAGAAACCTCCCAGGCTGAAATTTTATAACCCGAGCAGTATAGCTCAATCCCGCTAGACATTGTATAGGCTTTAACGCTACAATCTGAATATTACGGCCAGATCCTGCGGCGCAAATCACATAAGTACCAAGCATCCTAATGTCAGTAATCTATTTAATCACATCTTGATTTATTTAGGCATACTATAAAGATTTTCTACTATTTTGTGGATCATTAATTAGTTGATTGAATAAAATGTTTTGAATAAACAAACCCAAATGAAATCATTGTTTAACACTTACAAAACACTTTCTATTTAAATGAATTGACATTCACTTCCCCACTATATCATCTATGCTTTATAATGGGATACTAGACTATTTCTCATCACATTTACGCTATTCAAAAACCTGTTAAATATTACATATAAAACATATGATAATTAATATTAGTATCAGAAGGGGTTTTGTGGAGATTGCAGTAATTTCAACAGTTGAGATGACAATGGTGGATGTGTCGCTCAATTTCGTGGATTACCTGAAATTAGATATTAACACCGTTGGATGCTGGCTTAGTAGTTTAACGGTTAAGCGTTCATGCGCGAGACTGATAGGTCCTGGGCTCGAATCCCGCGATGCGGGATCGTGGATGCGCACTGCTGAGGAGTCCAACAATAGAACAAAACGACCGTTCAGTGTTTCCAGGTTTTCCATGGTAGTCTAGCTTCAATTGACTCATGATCTCAACTGTTGAAATTAATATTACATTTCAAAGTTTGCATAAATAAACTGGAAGTTATTATCTAGTTCTTCATTATTTTGACAGTATAATGTAAATACTTTACATTAATTAATTATTTTATAAACATATTCCAACCACAAAAAAACTACTTTAGTCACTTGGTCATAATGAAATCATAATGTACTCATTTTCCTCCTTATTATTCTATTTATTCATTAATTTGCAACTAACTAAAATGAAGTAGAATAGATTCAAAGTGACTTATAATAGGGACAATATTTCTATTTAACAAAATAGTCATATTTTTTTTCATTTCACTATAGTTATTAACTTTTCTTAGTACACTTCAATTCTAAGTATTCACCAGGAATGTTTGAAGAAGAAGAAAAGCTAATCACTTCATTACATAGTTTCTGAAATTACAATATCAATAATGTCTAGAAGATATCGATTACATCCATAAATAAGAAATAAAATGTCCTAAAATAATATTTTATCTAAATTTGTTGCTTTTACCCATAACATATTACCTGATCAAAATTGCCCCATACATAGAAGTGATAATGGTATCTATTTACTGACATGGAAGAAATACAATAATTTTTTTTACACTCAGACCTAAATTTAAACACGTGTCTTTATATTTAACTATAATGAATAAATAAAAAAGATTATATCTGTGCTACTATGCATTTGTATCATTGTATATTGAATGTATACATAATTCAATGATAGCAACAACAACAAAAATGTAATCACTACGTTATTCTCATTCTATGATAACATCAGATTATTCAAATGTATAGCATAGTTGTATTTAGATTACAGGTGTGTTCCATCTGTCGTCTTCTATCTATTTTGTTTTCCCGTTTTCATTTATATAATGACGAGATTTATACATGAATGACTTACAATAAGGTCAATGATAAAGGGTTATGAAATATCAGCTGATTTAATTTAAATATACTTTTTAATCTTTTACATAACTCGATACTTATCTTGTATTACCCTGTTTAATTTGTTGATTATCTGTTTTATAACTTACAAAAACCTATTACATTACAGGAAGTTTAAAATTATATTTACCAGTTATTTGTATGCATTACTTTATTGATACTAACGGAGATATAAAAACTTTTTTCTATCATGGTAATGAATGACTTTGCTTTTCATTTCTAACCAACTACAATAATCAATGAGATATTTACTATCCTATATATCTAATAAATTTGATAATTTAACGTTAAAGACAAGAAACCAGGAACAATGCAAAGAGAAAAGTCTTTATTGTTACAGTCAATTTCATTTATACATGTGTTCAATTACTAAGTCGCTATTTGATATATTTTTTTAAGGTACTGTGACAGTGATCATGGACTATTTGATACTCTCCTGACTGATCAGGAAAAAAAATGGTCATTAGACTAAACGAGTGTTGTTGATAAGGAAGAAAATAAAATATTTTAGAGAACGAAGAATAGGAAAAGACGATTATATTACATAAAAACTGAAGTTATAAATTATTTCGTCAATGTTTCAATGAAAGTGAAAGCTGAGAAATGTAAACATTTCTTATCTTATTACTTATGATAAATAAATTCCATAAAAATTAGTGAATGAAAAACTCTATGAAATATAAATCTATATAAAAACAATGAAATGTAAATTATTAAAACTTAGAGCAAAAAATATTTAGATTCGTTTCGCATCGAAGAACTTGAAACGAGTTTGGATCCTTCAGGGATTATCAGCTTTCTCAACATTACATGTATACCATGCTAATAAGCGTCAACTAACATGAAATCGAGATCTAGGATCTCGTAACAACTTTCACAAACCACTTAAAATTAAAATATTCATCAAATATTATCAAGGTAAAACTTATTTCTTTTTGAGTATAATGACATCAGTTTTAAGAAACTATAATTCAACCTCATGTTATTACCTTACTTCTTATTCTATGTAAAATCGGTTTGACTTTTACTTTAAAATTTCATAAAATGACTTAAAACTACAAATAAAATAATAATGATTATGGCCACTGAAAAAAAAACAGTAAGTAAGCAAAGAAAAGAGTGGAATGAATCTTCTGTACAATAATCTATCCAACTATTAAAGTAACAATCAGAATTGTTATTTACAAAGAATTCAAATAGATCTATATATCGTTTATAACGCTTTCATTTTTACAATTAATTTGTAGGGGTTAATTTCCTCTATATCTGATTCCAATAAATAGTATATCCCGTTAACTAAATATTTAATGCAGGCTAAATCTCCTAGTCGAATTATGAATTTACTTACTTACTTAATTACTTACTCCCAATGGAGCATAGGCTGCCGACCAGCATTCTCCAACGCTGTCCTGGGCCTTCTTTTCTAGTTCCATCCAATTCTTGTTCAATTATGAATTTACTCGAAACTATTCAAACGTCTAGACACCAGTTATAAAGATAGTTTATTGTTGAATAATCAATAAAATTCGCAAGTGTGCAGATAGCAAGCACACAGTGAAACCAATGAGTGTGTGTGTGAGAGAGAGAAAGTGATAAAAATCCATATATATATTTATGTGTGTTGATCGATTATGGATAATTTATTGATTGTTTGTGTGTTACAACCAATAGGAGAATAGATAAATATTGATGTACAGACATACACACAATCAGACTCACATATAATTTTACATAATGGATTATAGTGAGCAGAAAAATAATAAACTAGACCACCATGGAAAACCTGGAGACACTGGACGGCCATTTCGTTCTATTGTGGGACTCCTCCGCTGTGCGAGTCCATGATCCCACCTCGCGACATTCGAACCCGGGACCTATAAATTCAACCAGGTCTGTTGTGAGATAGTAACTCACTGAACATGATGCTGGATGTGTCGCGCAATTTCGTGGACTGTTTCAAGTTAGACATTAACACCACGGGTTGCTGGTTGGCCTAGTGGTCTAGTGGTTAAGCACTCGCGCGCGACACTGATAGATCGTGTGTTTGAATCTCGTGAGTTGGGGTCATGGACGCATACTGCGAAGGAATCCCACAATAGGACGAACTGGCCTGACAGTGTTTCTAGGTTTTCCATTGTTATCTAGCTTCAATTGACTCATGGTCTCAACCATTGAAGTTACTATAATATCCACAAAAACCTTTTGAAATAATGAACTAGTTCAATGAGTTTACTACAAATCACAACAATTTAATGAAATTTTTTAAAAATTCATTGAAATCAAATTACTTAATGAAATTTTATAGTTGAATTCATGAGTTAATTGAAGCTAGACCACCATGTAAAACCTGGAAGCACTGGATGGCCGTTTCGTCTTTGATGAAATGTCTATCGTTTTAATTTTTTATATTATACTACGCTCTTTCTGGATAAATTTTTACATTTTAAAGAATTTTCTTTCGACTTAATAAAAAGATTTCAATATATTTGTGGAACATTGAAAGTGTAGACACTTAA